ATTTAATGAACGATTAATATATCACAGAGCTTATCGTTATGTTAATTACTCGATCCTGCGATTCGATTATTTAATTGCGCGTTCCCAATGTGAATCATATTTAGATAGAAAGTCCCAGAAAAAATATATTTAACTTTATAATATTTAATTCAAATTTAATTTAGATTTAAATTATATTTAAATAAATATTATTAAAGAAATATTTATTGCTATAAAGAGAGATAGCAACAAAACGATAATTTATTATTTTGGATTTCTGTAACTACACGTTTCGTATTTGGATAAATTAAATAAAATCTAATTAAAATTAAATAAATACATTACGCGAAATACACGCTATTGTCACGATATAATTAACGTATAATCCAATGTATGTAAAAGATAATTAATTATATTAATCATATTAATTAAATTATTCCCCTAAAGTTGGCGCGATTGAATTTGGAAAAGGAATTTGACGAAGCGTCTTGCATCACTACTTTTCTGTTAGAATGTCGTCGCGTGAATGATGAAGTATTGTAGGAAAGGAATTTGTGACGTAGCGTCTTCCATTATTATAGTACTATTCAAGTATCGCCGCGCGAATAATAACAAGACATAAGACATAAACAATAGAGCGCTAATGTTTACGCCGCAAAGGCCGAACACCTTGTTATTGATAATACGTTGCTGAAATATTTCATGTTCTATAAGATATATATATATATATATATATTACTCGATCTTACGATTTAATTGCGCGTTCCCAATGTGAAGCGTATTTAGACCGTCAAAGAGTCAAACGACAAAGAAAGTATCGGAAGAAATATATTTAACTTTATAATATTTAATTCAAATTTAATTTAAATTTAAATTATATTTAATTACATATTATTAAAGAAATAATTATTGCTTATAAAGAGAGACAGGAACAAAACGATAATTTATTATTTTGGATTTCTATCACTACGTTTCGTACTTGAATAAATAAAATAAAATTTAATTAAAATTAAATAAATACATTACGCGAAATTTATCTAATGTATGTAAAAGATAAGTAATTATTAATCATATTAATCATATCAATCAAATTATTCCTCGATAGTTGGCGCGATCGCGTTTAGAGAAGGAATTTGATGGAGCGTTTCGCAAAACTATTTTCCTGCTCGAGTCACTCGAGTGTCGTCGCGCGAATGATAACATGATCGAAGTACGCAAATGATAGCGCGTCCATGTTTACGCCGCACCGCCAAGGCCAACACATGGTTGTTGATATTTTGTTGCCGAAATATTTTACGTACTATGACATATATATATATATATACACAAAAATATTATATTTTATATGCAACAAAACAATAATTTATAATTTTGATTTCTGTCACTATAATTCTTAATTAAATGTATATACATCACGCCAAATACGCTCTTTATGATTATCGTTGCCATATAATTACAGTATTATTTAAGATATATAAAAGATAATTAATTAATAATTATGTTAAATTATTTCCCTATACATTTGTCGCGATCGCGTTTAGAAAGAAAGTTGACGGAGCGTCTCGCACTATTACATTACTGTTCAAGTTTCACCGTGCGAATGATAACAAGGCCGTAATATGTAAACAATAAAGCACAATACGCCGAATACTACGTTATTAATAATTCATTGCCGTAATATTTTATGTATTATATCATATGTATACGCGGAACATTTACGTATGAAAGTACTTTAAATTGTAAATTAATTCTTTATTAAACTATTGTCAACGATATATCATGAAGCCCTTCGTAATGCTAATTATTTGATCCTATGATTCGATTGTATAATTACGCGTTCTCAATCCAAATTATATTTAAAATTGAAATAATCGAAAAGTCATACAAGAGAAATAGAGCATAGGACAAAAAATCTTTATTCTAAGTATCGATAGAAAAATTATTGTTCATAAAGATTGCAAAAAAAACGATAATTTATAATTTAGATTTCGATTGTCATTTCGATTCTTACTTAGATATATTTTTATTTGCTTTTTATCAATTTGAGAATAATTTTAATGGGTTTAATGAGATTTTTGCGACTAAAATGCAAAATAAATCAGATAATTTTTAGCTAAAATAATAAAAATTTTAAGCACATATTTAACTAAAAATTATCCGGTTTGTATCGTGTTTGGTATCATTTTAATCGCGAAAAAATCATTAATCCATTAAAATTATTTTCAAATAGATAAAATGCAAAATATAAAAGTTTTATTTTCTATGATAATATGACACATTATATATACTCGTGAAATACTATACCTATATAAAGGAACAAACCCCTCGCATATAAGAGACTTCGAAATTCTGATAATACGTCATCTGACTTGCTCTTTACTCGTTCTCGCTCTCGCTTTCAATGACATCGGAGACCTTTACTTATCTATAATAATTTATCTATAATATTCAAAAATCTTATGTAATAAAAACTTATGTAATAAAAACTAGAAACATTTATGTTTTATTTTAGAAAGTAATTTCTTGAAAATAATTTTAATGTATTAATGAGATTTTATGATTAAAAGAATATCCAAAACGATATAATTCGGATAATTTTTACTTAGATAAGAAAAAAAATTTCTTATCTAATTTTTAAATTTGTATCTAATTAAAATTTATCCGTATAATATCGCGTTTTTTATATCATTTTATTTGCAAAAATCTTATTAATCAAGTCAAATTACGTTCAAAAATATAAGAAATATAAAAATTTTATAAAAGTTTTTATATATTCAATAAATGCACTTCATTATTTTCGCTCCAAAGCGAAATGTATATTAATACAAGTACAAATTAACGGATAAATGAAGGCGAAAAATCTTGTTCGAGCGAAAAAAGCGGAGCGTATTTATTGTCATGCGTGTTTATTTTCAAAGGTCTAGTATTAATTATCTTATTGTTTTAATTACATATGTTTATATAAATTTATATATAATCGCTTTTAATGTGCATCAGTGCGCACTAGTGTATTCAACTGAATTTAAAAATTAAAAAAATTAAATAAAATCATTAATAATAAATTAATTAATTATAAAAAGTTATATATATATAAATTAAAAGTATAATTTGATATTACTTAAAATGCTTAATAATTTTGTTTCAAGAATAAAAAAAAAGTGAAAGCAATTTACTGTAAATATCTTCTATACACACGTTATAATTAAAAATTAAAAAAAGAATTATTAAGAAAATTGGTTAAAGAAAATTTATTTCATTTCACATGCGTATATACATATGCATAAAAATACTTTAATAATAATTTATTATCGCTGTCCGTAGTTTATACTAGAATGACAAAACATCAGATTTATTAATGTTTTATCAGCGCAGCTAATAAAACATTAATAAATCTATAATAGTTCTCCACATTTTTGATTTACAATTATGGATTTAGCACGGACACGCACCAACCAGCCGTTTTACCGTGGAATCACTGATCTCTATATGTATATCAGTGCATGGAACCGAAAAGTAAACCTGGCCATGTAATTCTGCCGGCTCTATAATGAATCCAGTTGATGCTACTGTACCAGCTAAGCATCTTATGAAAAACGGCGGCGCTCCTCTCAGGCTTCTCTCTAGCTATACCATTGAAGTCGCTACATTGATTTGTGGCGGATTCTACTGGTGTTTCGTGTAATTATTTAACGAAGAACTTTTTAGGTAAATTCTAAATGGAGTGAAAAATGTATGATGCCTTTCTTATCCGACTACTTTCGCCCGTCTACACTGTACAATTTTAATGTTATATCATGTCACATCACATATACATATATCATATATGAACTTTTTTCCCGAGTTATGTATAATATAATATATATTATAACAATTTTTAACATAAACATGAATGTTATAATAGTTTTACTTATATAAAGAACTGCATCTTAAATATTTTTTGAAAAATGAAGATCTTTTGTCATGTTTTATTTATATTCCAAATAATATACAAAAAAGCGCATTATATATTAAATTTGACAGGATAACTACTAATATCTTAATTTTTATAAATTAAAAATTATGTTTATGTAAGATAACAATTTTTTGAGACCTTTAAATATTGTATAAACGTACATCTATCATAACAAAACAGCCCTGATGCTTATATTCAATCTAAATTAGGTATCCACCCGCACCCCACATGTGCATTCGTGTATATTTGTGCACGAACGGTCCAACAAACACCACATTTATCATTGACTTGGGGCGGATTCCTCCTCTTTGATACCCTTTATTGGGCCTAATAGACCCGAATTGTTGGTGTATCAAGAGTAAAGCAGGGTAGATCTGGACTAGAGTGCCGTCTAGACTCTAGACAACTCACGTCTGAAAGCCGTTCTATTCATTTCACAATTGCCTTGTATGCAAAACAAATGTCGACGAACTACCATCATTTACGAATTAGACGCCAGTTACATAGTCATCGCAATTAGCATACTATTAACTTTGTCACATTTTATGTCAAGCTAAACCCCTAAAAAATATTTTTGATTCCAAGCATAAATATCATGTAAATTGTAATGTGCTGCATATATTTGACATACGACACTATTTTCATTCAGTAGTCAACAAAATTTGATTTTATCGAGTTAGTCTTTTGTTGAAAGGCTTTCTTATCTTGTATCCTTTATCATATATTGAAAAGAAAATATTATATAGAAATTTTTACATCTGTTTCTCTTAAGAACACATTTATAAAATAAGACGCTTGTTATTAATTTTCTTGTTTGCAAAATTACATTTTAAGAAGTAAAAATAAAAAGTTATACATTTTTATTGTTACTTTTTTTTTTTAAATTATCTTTTCTGAATAAGCATGTCATAATACAATTTCCTAAACATTTAAATAGATTATAATATAAAAGTTAAATTAATATCATATAAACTATTCCAAAAAATGTTGAGTTACAACCAATCAAACATTATGCGTGAAAATCATATTTTGAAATTGAAATACTCAGTAAACTTTATTTCAATAGAATATTAATTAATATTGAGTTTCAGAATCGATTATTACAAGCTTTAAATGTTAATAAAAAGAAATAAACTTTTAAATACAATACTGAATTTTTTTCAACGTGTAATGATATTAAGATAGATAGATGGTAAGATATTTTTCACATATCTATTTTAACGTAACAAAAGTTTTTGATTTTTGCACGCTATTAAAATATGAGAGAAATTTGATGCGTACATCTAGATTTGAATAATCCAATGACTGCAACGTCAACCAGGAAGGATTAATTTCGTTCTTTCCACCGCGATTTGCAGGAACGCGAGGTAGATCGAGAGCGGAGATCGAGCGTTTCGGGAACGTTCTACGCGCAACACCGGCGCGAATCCAGAGCACTGGCATGTTATGAAACGATAGCATAGATCCGTGGCACGTTCAGTTAGAACCTCAACGGTTACCTAGGGCTTCCTGCGGAAATGGCCAATATACACCTCCGACCTCCAACTCACTCAGCCTCTCGCGCGAGCGCGCGCATTTGGATCACGCTCCTGTCAGGCGTACTATACCCCATGCACGATCTCCCTGCTGGTTCGCTCGACACGCACTCGTTATGGCTCATCATCATGATCTATGCGCCTACAACAAACGTTACATCCTTAATCCGTTCTAGTTGGCTCAAACCTACGCGCGCGTGCTACGCGAAAAAACTAACGTCATTATCTTTCCAAGGTTTCGTCGGTTTTTAAAGAAAAAACTTCTCTTTCTTTCAGCGTATTTCGATGTGAAAGCATCGAAATTTTGCTATAATTATTTGTTATTATAGTAGAATCTAATTTGTAACTAAAAAGCCACAATATCGTGCTGAGTTTATTTGTATGCATATTTTTTTACGCATTAAAACAAATTTAATATTTTATGCTAAAGTAAATTATAATCTACTCTTTGTAAATATATTTTACTAATGCATTTGTATAAAACAAAATTATTACTGCTCTGATAGCGAGAATCAATTTGTTATTGTAGATAGAATTTGCAGATTTAACAAAATTTCTTTAATAAATAAGATTAGTATTTTTAAAAATTATGTTTGCTTTAATAACTAACACAATTTATTACGACAGTATAAAATATATACGCAGTACAAAATATATATTTGCTGCACCAGCAAAAGATGCATTGGTTACAAGTCTATGCGTTACATACATAATTACATTTTACATCCTTGATTTATAATGAGAAAATTAACTAATTGTTACATAAAAATCCTGACATTTTTTAAGGAAAATTTAATCTCTAGTATATTTATATATGTGAATCAATACAATAGTAAAATTATTTATCCACGAATTTGTATTTTTATTCAGAAGACATATGACGTACCTAGACAAAGAATTCGCATTTGTTCGTCTGCTGCGAAGTCAAGCAGCGACTGAGACATTAACACGTTAAGACATTAGGACGTTAATACAGATCTAAGCTGGAGTTTCACATGACTAACGTGCATTCGTATCGCATAGTTTCCCTTATTATGGCAGTTAGCCGCAGATTCTAGATTTGAAAATTATTGTGTCTTATCTTATCATATCTATGTCTTTCAAACATATACATATGTATTTCACGCATACACATATTACATTTAGCATTTAATATTACGAAAAATATGACGGTATTTATTTAAAAAACACTGAGAGAAAGAGAGATATTTTAAACATACTATGTGCGTGCAAGGAAGATATTAAATATTTCAAAATTATATATGTAATTTTTGTTTACTCACACTTTCTACCACTACGGTACTTTCGTGAAGGAGAGAAGATCGAATCTATCGATTAGATATGCGTTCTTGGCCAAGAAAAGACTTCAGGTCATCGCGAAGAAAGAAGCGTCGTGCAGTTAACAATGGCACCACAAATACAGACTGACTCTTGTTGTCCGCAGATTTAATCTGTCGAAATGAGTCATCATTTTGATGGGCTCACGGCTAACAAACGTGTTCACGAGAATAACAGTTGATAGAAGGATTCGCAAAAATAAAAGACTGATCCTAAAAACTCTACAATGTTAATCGATCATTATTTCTCTTTTTTTTAGCATTCGCGATAAATATGATAAATTAAGAGCTTATTGCAAGTTAAAAGATACAATATAGTATCTTTATAGTTTCCTTTAAAGAGTACAGCTTTAATTTATCTTTGAATTTCTTTTGAAATGATTGAAAAAATATCATTAACAATTCCTAAATGCCAAAGTATGCGCAAAGTATCATGCTTTCTTCTTCAAAGAAAGCTCATGTTCAAATTTACTTTGTATCATCCATGACATAAACCACATAAAAAATAAAAGTTGGTTAATTCGACTTACGAATAAGATATATGTGGCATTAAATGCATATTTATCTCAAAATGTTAACGTTATAGCAAGCTTTTTCTCAAGACGATCTACTTTATATTATAGTCATTTAAAAAAAGAAATATATTCTTTGATATTTATAATAAATTTTAAAAAAGATTTTAATATTTAAAAAATATTATATTTTATTAGAAAGAGATTTTATCATAAAAAAAATATATAAGGAATATAAATAAAAAGTACATACTTTTTAGAATGTAACTTTTAGGCTATACGAATATCTCTATAAAAATTGTTTAAAATTGTTTCTTATAAATAAAATTATAATACGTTACATAAGATATAACTGAATGAAATTTCTCAATGGAAACAATCATTAAAATATATTCTTTTGCAATTTCTTTCCACACAAATTGATCCAGATGTTCGTTACACTTTTTCGAAGATAACTATCGACCGTTAGCTAATGGCACGTGCGAATAGATGAATGAAAGTTTACGAGGATAGTAAGAACAGGTCAATCTGCCAATTGACCAGGCAGAGTCAATAGTCGGTATCGTAAGAACGGACCTCTGGATCATGTACCTCCCTTGCGTTCGCACCCACACAAAGCGAGCGCCGAGTATCTTCGTCAAGGAGAATTAGCCACAAGCGGAGTGCAGCAGATAAGGGTGCTCATGGCTCGTGGTGGGGGATGGTTAACTCTAGAGTGGCCGTTCGGAGTCAGTTGCTCTTATGCTCGCCAGCCATCAACAGTGCGATCGCGTTGCGTATCGCTCGACTCTCGCGACGGAGTGTCACAGACAGTCAAGAACAACAAGCATGAATAGTAAAATCTGAAATACACGTGTAATAAGAATCTACGAAACAATCGTGACAATTGCAAATTTTAGTGAAAAAAAAAATGGACAAACAGAATGTGTCCGGACTCAATGATTCTTTACACTTGAATCACGACAAAAGTGACAGAAAATGAATGATTTTGTGCATTCGGGATAATTGTAACTTTGAAACTGAATCTGTATGCAGTTGCGTGATATTTTGCTAAAATCGCAGTTTAAGTTGATAAACTTTGTGCAAAAACAAGATAGTCGCAGTTGACTGAAGCGACAATCGTTGCTCGTTTCTTATCACTCGATGATTTTATTGATGATTGAATATTGAAAGAAACTACACGCGAAGGAAGATTGATCATATAAATTATTAAGTCTCCTTCGATGAAACCGGATGCATATGCGTCACTTCTCATCGTCATTAGTTTTCGTCGAGAAAAACATAGTGATCATCTAATTATCAGCAGTTTTATAATTTATAATCGTGAAAAATATCGCAATCGATGAGGAAAAGATGTTTGAAAATAATATTGGAAGATAAAACTTAAGAGGTTCATGACTTAAGCTCCTCCTTATGGAAAGCGACTTCCTCGGTAACAAAAAAGATCGATAACGATATCCATGTGGAGCGAATAATTTCGCACTAAATTCCATTGCTATTTAAATGATTTAACAGCAACGTCGATTTCTAATAACTACGCAACGCAATTCCTCGGAATTTTCCCGGGACGTCGAACTCCAGGTTTTCTCCGGATATTTAACGGAAGTTATCAATTTAGTTGCGACTTCGTCGCATTTGCTGATGCGCACGAGACTTTTCGAGCGACAACGATAACGAAGACAGTGACTCAGGTCGCGATACGTTTCGGAAAATCTACCGAGAGACATGAGGAAGCATCGAACGCTAATCGGTTAGCACAGTCTGGATCATCCAGAAGATCGAGAAGGCGCGATGATTATCGATAGCTGAACCGGCGACTGAGAATCGCGCGGAAGCTGATTGAGCGCTCGAAGGATTTACCGTGGGGGGCACGTGCGAATAGATGAATGAAAGTTTACGAGGATAGTAAGAACAGGTCAATCTGCCAATTGACCAGGCAGAGTCAATAGTCGGTATCGTAAGAACGGACCTCTGGATCATGTACCTCCCTTGCGTTCGCACCCACACAAAGCGAGCGCCGAGTATCTTCGTCAAGGAGAATTAGCCACAAGCGGAGTGCAGCAGATAAGGGTGCTCATGGCTCGTGGTGGGGGATGGTTAACTCTAGAGTGGCCGTTCGGAGTCAGTTGCTCTTATGCTCGCCAGCCATCAACAGTGCGATCGCGTTGCGTATCGCTCGACTCTCGCGACGGAGTGTCACAGACAGTCAAGAACAACAAGCATGAATAGTAAAATCTGAAATACACGTGTAATAAGAATCTACGAAACAATCGTGACAATTGCAAATTTTAGTGAAAAAAAAAAATGGACAAACATAATGTGTCCGGACTCAATGATTCTTTACACTTGAATCACGACAAAAGTGACAGAAAATGAATGATTTTGTGCATTCGGGATAATTGTAACTTTGAAACTGAATCTGTATGCAGTTGCGTGATATTTTGCTAAAATCGCAGTTTAAGTTGATAAACTTTGTGCAAAAACAAGATAGTCGCAGTTGACTGAAGCGACAATCGTTGCTCGTTTCTTATCACTCGATGATTTTATTGATGATTGAATATTGAAAGAAACTACACGCGAAGGAAGATTGATCATATAAATTATTAAGTCTCCTTCGATGAAACCGGATGCATATGCGTCACTTCTCATCGTCATTAGTTTTCGTCGAGAAAAACATAGTGATCATCTAATTATCAGCAGTTTTATAATTTATAATCGTGAAAAATATCGCAATCGATGAGGAAAAGATGTTTGAAAATAATATTGGAAGATAAAACTTAAGAGGTTCATGACTTAAGCTCCTCCTTATGGAAAGCGACTTCCTCGGTAACAAAAAAGATCGATAACGATATCCATGTGGAGCGAATAATTTCGCACTAAATTCCATTGCTATTTAAATGATTTAACAGCAACGTCGATTTCTAATAACTACGCAACGCAATTCCTCGGAATTTTCCCGGGACGTCGAACTCCAGGTTTTCTCCGGATATTTAACGGAAGTTATCAATTTAGTTGCGACTTCGTCGCATTTGCTGATGCGCACGAGACTTTTCGAGCGACAACGATAACGAAGACAGTGACTCAGGTCGCGATACGTTTCGGAAAATCTACCGAGAGACATGAGGAAGCATCGAACGCTAATCGGTTAGCACAGTCTGGATCATCCAGAAGATCGAGAAGGCGCGATGATTATCGATAGCTGAACCGGCGACTGAGAATCGCGCGGAAGCTGATTGAGCGCTCGAAGGATTTACCGTGGGGGGGGGGGGGGGGAGGGGATTATTATGTTAGGAACGGGACTATGGGTTTTGGTGAAGGTGTTGGTACTGGCGGGGGTGGCCATCGCGCTCCTGCCAGAGGATCTGGAGGATCGTGTCGTTCCGACCAGCCTCCAGGAGGAATGCGCTTCCAAGTGCCCGGATCTGGATCTTATGCAGGTAAGAGATCTTTTTTGTGTGATAAAGAAGCTAGATATTATTGCAGTTTACTTGTATAATTGAACCGTAATGTACAACCAAGGGATATGATGTCAATAAGGAAATCTCTAAGTTTGGGAAATCAATTTCTTCTCTTCTCACATCTGTAAACATATACAAAATTAGCAGAAAAACATTATACAGAAAAATACAAAATTAACTTAAGTAAAATTGTTTAATTTTTGATCTTTTAATTTACTCTCTGCTATGTAAAACATGAAGAAAAAATATCGCATTAAATCGCGGTTTGCGTATTTCAAGCAATCGCAGAGTATCCACAAGAGTATCACAAGATAGAAAATGGGGCAAGTGCGTATATTTTCACGCGGCTGTAATGAGAACCATCGACGAATAACAGATGGCAATTTGGCTAATGAGATAACAGTTTATTTATTTGCACTTTAGTCTGTAGTATACATAGTATACATAGTAGTAGTATACGTTATATATATAGTATACATCGAAATCGCGTTATTAATAGATAGCCCGTACCAATAAATCGCAATGTTACGCGATTACAAGTTGATCATAACATTTTTGGTCTTTATCAAATCTTTCGTTACTTTCGCTTATCGACATTATTTATGGCTACCTTTAACCGTACTATCCTGTTATAAAAGAGTATGTTACGTTACTCAAACATACGATTATGTTAATTCGGACAAGTATAATGTTAAATACAACAGATAATAAGTGTACAACTAATTAAATTACTTGTGCTAAGATGTATTAATTTAATTTATTTTTATTTTTATTTAAAATTACTATTAGTATATAATTTGCTGTTAATTTAAAAAAGAGAGATCTATACAAAATTTAAATCTCATTAATTATCAAAATATATTATATGCAAAATGATTAAAAATTACCGTTATCTTTTTTAGACTATACATTTCTTAAGAAATTTAGAATTAATTTTTTCTTTTAATCAAGATTTTGTACATCAAAAATCATTACTTTTCATTGCAATTTCTCAACTTTTTATATATCTTCTCAGTATGTAATAGCACTTTGCACATTTACTCGATGCTTTCCTTCGCCGTTTAATTGACTCGTATATTGAATGTCAATTATCTCGCGCTAATTAATGAGAAATATTTAAAGCACGCGACGCACACAATTTGCGCCATACGCGATCTTCGAAATTCATGTCGGTGCGTCAATTTATCGCACCATGGCGATCCATTAGCATTCCTCGCAATGCAATGCACGTATGCGCATCCTTGTGCATCGCATCCGTGAGTAATTTTTCAATTCGAATTGACAATTTATCGAAAGCGCAAGAAATTCGCGTACTTCTAATACTTGATAGAATTTTGACGCACTTTTATTCATTCTGTTTCAATCCATCAGCTATTATATTATAGCTATCGATATCACCCGACATTTTTATCAAACAATAAAATAAATTTCTTGTTGTAACAATAAATTAATAAATTTTGCAACAAATTAGTGTATGAATAATATGCAATTATGAAAAGTACACAGAATATTTCAAAATTATTATTTACAACTATTTTATTTTAGTTAATAAAATTTTTCGGTATCAATACTTAACTGTAAAGTAATTTGTCAAAAATATTCGGATTAAAAACTAAAATATTTACTTTGGTACCATGTTAAGCATCCTCAGCTGCGAGCTGAGCGGTGGCAGCACGAAAATGGCTGTGCGCGAGTCTGTGCAGCGAAGGACGTATCAATTTAAGTCCACTCTCCAGCCCGACTGTACCATTCATTAATTAACTTAACTACACGAC